ATGCAGTATGGACACAGACTTGGTAACAGATATCTGTTATCAGGGAAGATTTGAGGGGAAGGCGAAACTCTTTGTGACCGTGATGGATGCTGGAGCGTGGCCTGTATTAGCAGACGTTGTTTATCTGTCTGAATAGAACAGAAGGTAAATCTTTCCCAGTCTGAATATTCCTCCTTCCATGAGCATTTGAACACATCCTTGTGAGGTAATGGACCTGCAAATCATAGTCTGCTGCACAAAAACAAGCTGGCTTCTTCCTACATCGACCCCATCATGCAGGCATGTCGCCTGGTCTTTGTTCCATCTCCTCACCGAAGGACAGATTGATCTAGACGATATATCTGTACACATCTTAACTATACATCCTTTGGATTTACTGCGTGTGAATTCTGAGTGTGTCCTGATGTAGACCATGCTCCACCTCCCCTGCACGTGCTCTCAGTCTCCGTCTGAGCAGAAGGCTCGGACTGGCTCGGAGCAGTCTGGCCTGGAGCCTCTGAGCGCCGAGAGAGCTGCAAAATGGCACCCGGGAGGAAATCAGAAACATGCACTCGCCTCTCTGTCTCTGCCTTGGGAAGTAATGTCGGATTACACTCCCCCTTTGGCCCTGCCTCAATTTCAGACTAACACGCAAGCAAGCATGAAGGCACGCAGGGGGATTAAGGAGGGAGTTTGTGTTTTGGGGGAACGTTTGAATCAGTGAATTCCAGAATGTTGAGCACAGGACTTTTAAACTCGAGCACAGACTCAATCAAATACTTTTCATTGATACTGAATCACATTTTTTTCATTGGCAATGGGGAAACTCCCATTTTCCTACATAAAGCCTCAGATTTGGCTTTGCTGCCTTTTGATGTTGCCGTGAGGATAGAAGTGCAAAAACAGTCAAATACTGCAGCAAAGCACTGTTGGCTGGGATTACTTCCTGTAACTCTGAAACTATTCCACCAACATCTATACGAATGGATAGGTACCACTTTAAGATGGCATGATAATGAGACAGATGGAGGCGATGCTTGAACTCCTGCTGTATGTTATGTAAATGTCTGTGTGTGTGTGTGTCACAGACTAAATCTGCTCTGTTAGACACAGATCCGGGGACTCTGGATGCCATTCGAGCTTTGTCATATGACACATTAGATATCAGAAGATCGATACATGATGGACGTGGTCACCAACAACTGGTGTGCCAAAAACATATCCGCCTCGCCGCTACACCGCCAGCTGCACTACGTTGATGCAGAGCGGGATGGATCCATGCTACCACGTCAACACACAGCAGCTCATGGAAAGCTGACTTTACTAGAGCTGGAGTCAGAAATGGGCACAGCTCTGCTTAAAGACATTGGGACCGGAAGAGGTCGGACTTTGTCAACCGATGAGTCTTATTGTTGTTGGGCACTGGAGATGTAAACCATAGAGGAGGGACAAAATATTATAGCAATAGCAGGATTGTTGTTTGCGTACAATCCAAATGCCGCATGTAGCTCTACGATGAAAGCCGAACTGGATTGAAGCATTTTAGTGAATCTTTGTATCATTTTCTCTCTTTGCTTCCTCCTGTTTCCTCTCGTCAGCTCCAGCATCCTTCCTTTATCTCCAGCTTTGAGGGAGAAGCTTAAAGCGCTCGTTTGTGAGAAATGTGATTTGTGTGTTTTTTATGGGACTACTGGAACACCCAGTGTCTATTCTGAGAATCCCACATGCACAGCAGAGGTATGCCCTACAGGCCACCCCCCTGCCTCCAGTTTGATCTGATGTTTTCATGGCAGCCTCCTGCTGTGGCTGGTTTTCAGAAACTCCTCCAGTCTCCCTCCCCCATCTCTTTCTGTCGGCTGAGTTTGAACTTAGGCAGGGATAATGCTATTTTACATTTTTAACATGTCACCATGGAAACCCGGATGCTGAACTGTGCAGCGCTGACTGTGAAGCTCTAAATGTGGCCCTTTGTTTTTCCAGGTCTATAAAGGTGAATTTCAGCTCCCAGATTTCCTAAAAGAACAGCCACAGGTACAGTAACCATCCTGCCTGTTGTTGAGCTTTTCCTCATTTTGTTCTCATACGAGTCGAACCATATGCAGCTCAGTGGACAGTCACGTGACAGGTTTCCATTTGCTCACAGTTAGTCATCTCCTCTTGAGTTTCTAGCCATCTAACAGCCTGATTTTCGGTTCCTGCTTCATGAATCCCCTCCTTTTTTCTTTTTTTTTTTTTCTCCCCCCCTTTTTTTCTCCTCGTTTTTCGGTAGTCTTTCTTTACTGTGTCGTCTCTTGGTTTCAGAGCCTCACGTTGGCTGAAGAGCACCTCTGCCCCCTCCTGGCAGTTGCATTCATCTGTTTTCTGTTACAGAAGCTTTCAGTTGTCTTTTTTTCCAAACGCAATCAGTCTCTGTCTGTCGATCGCTGCGATCTGGCTTTCTGTCAGCATCTTCTCGGGGGTGTAGATGCAAACTTCTGCATTTCCCCCTCAAGCGCTTTATCACAGAGGAGCTGATGGTGAAACCTAACCCTCTTTCTGTTCATCTGTACAGATCCAGAAGGCTGCAGAGAGACCCAATCCCAGTTAGGAGCAGAGGCAGCGTGGGCACCAAAACACACAGGTACAGAAGCAAGTTTATTTCACAAATACACTTCCTGTTTAGCTACGTGTTTAAAAATGAGTCCATCAGGACTGCTGCTTACAGACATCGGTGAAATAAAGCAAGAGCTCCTATATCTACTTAAAATGATTACAGATATTAACACAGAGGCCAATATTTGCTGTAACCACGTCATAAGATATACTGCAGAAATCTGCTTTAATTAGTGTTGCAGCAATCCAATAATTATCAATAAGAATAGAAACAACTGAAAGTCTTGTTTTTGGTTTGCTTACAGAGTCTCACCGCCTCAATGCACTACACGGGATAAAGTTATAGTTTAATTTGACTGATGTTGTGATATTATCTTGTTTTTTCACTTGAACCTGTTCCCTGTGTGAGCTCATGGAAACCACACAAACCAGTTAGAGATGGGACGCTCCACACTGATGTTTAGATACAGTGTCAAGCTTATGAAGCACATATGTTTGGAAACAGCATGAAATCACAACAACAGTTGTTTTATATTGTAAGGTAGACCCTACAATCAGCTGACCCCATATGAGCAAGTGACAGTGGGAAGGAAAAACTGCCTTTTAACAGGAAGAACCCTCCGGCAGAACCAGGCTCAGGCGGGCCTGGTTCTCGATATAATTCCAGCAAACCTGCTAACGTGAGCTTTGCCCACCAGTAACGTGTGTTCTCTTGTTCTGGTACAGGACTCGCTGCAAAGGAACAGCGCATCGCCGATATCGTCTCAGTCATGTCACAGCCCTGTTCAGCTTTGGCACATCTCAAGTGTCACATGACCACAGCTGGGACACGCCCCCCCAATATATAAATACACACACACACACACACACACACACACACACACACACACACACACACACACACACACACACACACACACACACACACACAGACAGGTGGGCTGCGGCCACTCCTTGTCATCAGAAGTCTCGGCCTTCAGCATTGTACTGTACAAAAACATGGATGTCAGCGCCACTGAATGTCTGCTGGTCGTCGTCTCACGTCGCGTCATGCTCATCAGCTTGTAGAAATCATTTCTGGCCTTTTAGAGGAAAAGTATTTATGAATGGAAAATTAGCTTTTGGAAGATGCAATACCTATTTTGATGATGATTTCCTTTTTTAAAATTTTTTTTTTTTTATTGTTTTTCATGCCGTTGTATTGTGCAATGTCATGGGTACTGATCAGTTTGACGTATCAACCGTGATAAAAGATGCTTTTTTTTAAACAAACCTTGTCTGTTTCTTGTGTATAATGATCCGAATACGGGAAGATGTGCTTACAAATACCCCGTGATCATCACAGTTTAATGAAACAACCAAACAAGCTCAGTGCTGCTATGAACATCAGTCTGGTACTTTCATGCTGCTTTTATACTCTGAACACTCGGCGCCTCATCCACCCACACCTGCATGGATGCATCGGGGAAACGCAGCTCGATCAGCTGGCCTTCTGCTTGCTAGGCGACCCGCTCTACTTCAGCTCTGAGCTTTGATCCTCTTCCCTTTTATTTTTCTTCAAACAAGCGCTCATAACTAAAATAAGCATAACCATATTATTGTTTTCTGACCTGATTGTGTGAAATAATCTGAGGAGATTTGACTACTCTGTTAGGCCCACCTGTGCACCATGTGCTGCTGTAATTAAATCAGTTTAATGACAACAAAAGTAGTACTTTTACAAGAGTTGTACTGAAAAATATTAACTTGCCCCTAATATTTTGATCCAAGAAAAATAAGAGTGGAGCAAACTTGGTTTTTTGTTAGAGGCTTTAAGGCACGTTTGGGTCTCGTCATAGTTGCAGTGGTGCACCATTATTTTAAAAAATGAATAAAGGGCAGGGATAGCTCAGTAGGTAGAGTGGTGCCCCATGATTGGATGGTCGGGGGTTCAAATCCACTGAACAGTACCCCCTGAGCAAGGTACTGTCCCAACACACTGCCCCCTGGGTGCTGGGTTGGTGGCTGCCCACTGCTTCACTGAGGGAATGGGTTAAATGCAGAGAGGAATTTCCCTGTGGGGGTTAATAAAGTATACATTATGTAGAAATGCAAGAAAAAGAGATGTGTTTGACCATCTTTAATTTTAAAAAAAACTAAACTGTAAGTTCTGCATGTGCAGTGCAGCACATCACGTTCATGGCCTTACTGGGTAACATACGAGTAATACCTGAGCTTTATTTGTAAAATACTTGTTACTCTTGCACACCGCGCCTTTATTACCACATCATTTGAGCTGGAGCAGATGTTGTATCTGAAATGAGTAAAGCTTTCAAATTAAAATATCATTGCTTGTTTAAAAAAAGTACAAGTGTATCAAAGAGTGCTTTTAAAGTATTTGACTCAAAGTGTTGGGATCACCGACAGCTAACCCTTTCTCCTAAATAAAAGCTGTTGAAGGTACAGAAATATTGGGGGGTTTGATAGAAAAAATGTGGAAGCTGCTGGTGCCAAAATGGGTCGCGTCCACCCAAACGTGTTTTATGTATGTGGCCAGAGATTGGCGACATACGTAGTGAACCTTGTAAAGTAATTTTACTTTGAAAGAGTCAAACCGCATGTGACCCATACTTTCATTTCTTTCTCACCGTCTTCTCTAACACGTGTGTATAAACATCCTCATTTTTTCCTGATGTTATCGCAGTTATTGCCAGCAGATTTGACACTAAACAACAGGTGGTTA